CTAGACATTCCGTCCCCCCCACTTTTGAAATGATGGCTACGCCCCAGCTCTACAGGTAACATGGATGGAAAGTATTAATAGAACCAAGAGACACAGAGTACCTGAAGGAAAGCTTAACTACTCAGAGTTCTGTGTCAGTGTTGTCAGTTTTGTATCAGATGTTTCTTTTAAAATTCCTCAGCTGAAAATAGTTATAATTAAACAAAAAATAAATAAAATAAAATAGAACCAAAACCCAATGGATAGCAATGATCTTATTTGAAATCATATTTCGCTACAGTGAGAGACAATCTCCTGTACCTTTCTTCCTGAATTCTTGAGGAGACAAGCGAGATTGCATACATATTTTACTCAGAACAAAAAAATATACAAAACAGCTTTTTGTGGCTTTTTATATGCTATAGGGTTCCCAAACTGGGGATCACAAAACCCTCGGCTTCATGAGGGAACTGCGTGGGTCTTATAAGTTGATGAAAAGCTAATAATTAATTATAATATAAAATACATTTTAAAATAAAAACAATCAAAATAAAACGTTGAATAAAAATGATAAAACTTTTCATTTTAATAACATGCCATGTGACCATTAATTAACATCAGAGAAATGTGCTGTTCAATTATTGCAATGCAAATGTATTGTTTAATTATTGAAGAACTTAAAATCTCACAGCATACTTCAAGTAAATATTTTACATCAAAGGTTGTAGTGTGTTATACTAAAAGTTGACTTCACTGTTCTCAACGTGTTCTTATTCTGAGCTGGCCACCCCACCTACACTCTAAAACTTCTATAAAATATAACTATAATAATGTAGGCTATACATTTTACAAAAAGAATGTGTGTGTTAAATTAAAATATAGGTCATACCACCTAGTATTAAAGAATCATTATACACCACAATATTTTTAATGCACGAGGCCATTAAATCGACATCTCGAAGGTCGAATCTCGGTTGGGGGTCAGTTAGGATGTGATCTCTCCATGGTGCACTAATGGGAACACATGTCGTGTCAGGAGGGAGACCTCGGTCTATAGTTCATTATAATAATAACGCGTCATTAGCGCGCAGCAGACACCTGCTGAAACTGGGGCAAAAGCGAAGGAAGGGGGTTAACTAACGCGATGCTGATTTATGTTCTTATGATGATTAATTTTCTTTCATCATCAGAACGATGAAACGTTGTATTCCACAGTATGAATAACCGTTCCATGCCATGCCAAAAAATAATTAATTGGCTCGATGTGGGTCAACAGATAACAACGTCAGGGAGAGGTGCACCTGCGTAAAAACGCATCGACACTTTCCCTATCATTTATCTCTATATGTTTGTAGTGTAAAGGGTGGATCGCAGACAGCTGTATTGTGATACCTGTTCGATCGGCTTGAGTTTTTCCTCCTGCACTTGGGACTCGACAGTCAGCTGTTAATACGTCGCGAAAAGCATTGTGGGAAATGTAGTTTCGGCACGCTCTGTGTGTCATTCTTGCAATTCAGTGCCTAAAAGTCCCTAAAGCTATGATATTTATCGTTTTAATTTTTCACTGTATAAAAAATGGCTTAAATGTGTGTTTTAACGTACTCATTGAAAATAATTCATATGTTTTATTGTGTTAGTCTCAAATTGTACCTGTATGTCATGACATTACTTAGTATGCCAACCTGGAAGGCTAATTCACAACAGGTTCCCTCAGGAAACTCTTGTAGATTTAGTAGTTTATTAATTCATGTGGTCAGCATTACTCGAAGCTCACATCTCCCGAATTGTTGTAGCCCAAGTTTAACCAGTTTAGAAGTTTGTTTTGTGAATAATATTTAAGTAGGCTAAGTGCATGAACTGTATAAACTGTAGTTTTAAAACTTT